TAAAATTTTTGGTTTAAGGGTGTTTTTAGCCCAAAACTGTAGTACAAGTATAGGGGTTCGTCTTATTACTATTATTATTCATGTTTAAGGATATATTGAATATTTATATTTATATCTATATTTTATTTAAATATATTTATAAATGTTGTCCTTATTGCCTATGAAAAAGGCAGTCAGAATTACAAAAAGCTTTATTTTTGTTAAAAACAAATAAAACTTAAAGAATCATCATTATTTTATGAGTATTGTTTTTTTGCTCAAAAATAATGATTATTAGTTAAGTTGTAGAGGAAAACTCTAAATTAATCATTATACAAGTATTGTGAGTGAATAAATAAAATAAAAAAAAATTATCATTATTTTGTAAGTTTTATAAGAACACTCCTTAGTTACAACTGCTAGTGGTTGTCTGGCGTTATCTTCTAGGAATACAGAGTCCATAGTCGCTATTGAAGCTTCACATCATATACTGAACCAGTCTCTTACAACTTGACCATTCAAGTATTTATATTTCTTTTGTTATATTGCCTGTCATTCAATGATAAAAATGCCAAACTTATCGCTTACAAATACCGATATCTGAAAGCTGCACTACACGTCCTGTTAAAACACCATTTGCAAGATATTTGAAATAATTTCTTTGACTGCATCTTTTGAAAATACACACCCACCTTCATATTTTTAAACAGCATTATTAATTTTATGATTTCTAGCTGTTGGTGTGCAAAAAATAAGGCAACCATTTTGCAATTGTTGCAGAATTTACGCTCATTTTAATTTGCAACGCGGGCAGCAAATGCGTTGAATGTGCCTGAGGCAAGCAATTTTTGTTGTTGTTTTTTTTTTTTTGTTTTTTCCTTTTTGTTTTTGGCCCAAATGCTTAACACATGCATAAATAAATGCCCATAGTTGGCTCGAAAAAAAGTGGGACTGCACAAGTGCAGGGAAGAAGGTGGATCGGTCGGTCGTTCGGGCTGGTCGGGCTGGTCGGGCTGGCCAGTTGGTGGCTGGACTTGGAGCTGGACCTGAGACTGGACCGGTCTGGAGGCACGAGTGCGTTTAAGTGTTAACATGTAAATTATGCTGTTGGCGCAGTTAATAAGTGTGTTTCAAGTGCTGTAAATCATTGCGAAAGTTTCCTGAGTCCGTGTGGGTGCTGGTGTGTGGAAATTAATTTTATTTTGCTTGTCACATATACATACATATGTACAAGTATGTATGTACGTGGCAGTACTAGCATAAATTTATGTTCGCCTAAGAAGGGCAACTGAATTTATGTATGTCTGAATGCTGAAAGCAGCTGCAGCACAAAGTATCGTTTTGTAGTTGTTGCTGATAAGTTTCATTTTGACTTTTCCGGCATTTCATCCATGCTGATGACATTTCCAATGCCTCTCGTCCTCCAGCCTGCGCTCTCCTGCGCATCCTTCTTCCTGCAGCAATGACAAACAAAATTCATTTCGTAATTTCCAGCCACCTCCAGCAGCAGCTGTCGTGTAGTTTTGGATTTCGTTCTGACCAGCCTGCAGAAATTGCAGTCCCAGGCTCGACTTCGGTTCGTTCGTTTATTCCATTTGCTGAATCTTTGCGGGAAATGTGACAACGCCCCCTAGCCCCCCAACCCCCATCAACACACTTCTCCACTCATCCAAGGACTGCAAGGACTCGCTTACATGCCGCTCGGTTTTAGAAAATTATCTTTTTGCTCGTCGTCGCCAAAAAGGAAATCATATTTTCTGCTTTTGTGCACTTTACTTTTCAGTTTTCGAGCGCTCCCGGCTCCCGCCCCTCCCCTCCCCTTCCCTCTTTGCTTCGCTCGTTCGAGTCGGTCGTAAACAGTTTGGTTGCAACTTTTGTGCGAAATTTATGCTCTCGCCCGTATCTGCCACTCTTTGCAAGTACCGTGCCACGCACCGTCGCCCACAACCAACCACTTATTGGGGAAATGGGTTGCGACGTGCTCGACCTGACTGGGTCTGTGTCTGTGTGTGTGCATCCCCACCAGGTGGTGTTTATGGCATCCGCTTTGCGAGTATTGATGAAGGAACTCGCATCTGTAATTCAATCAGTGTCTATGTCTGGCTGCCATTTGGCGGCAAAGGACCAAGCGACCAAGAAAGAGTCTCCTGTTTACGCCGCCCATTCGAGTGGAAATTTGTGCTGAAATTCCATCGCATAAATGCAAATAAGGTGCGCCAAAATAAAATGCACACTTCTCGACAATGATATGCGCGCTATTTTTGACAATTTTATGGCATTCTGCGTTACATTTTTGCTTCTTCTTTTTTTTTCAATTTTTTGATTTTCGCGTCCATTGAAGTGTTCAAAAGTTTTGCGCAAATAAATGACAAACTAAGCTGTGAAGGTTAGGGAGAAAATAACTGATATTGTTAGGCAACTGATATGCCATAATATACCAGAGATTATATTGTATACACAAATGAAAATATTATCCAACAGCAACAAAAAGAAAGGAAAAGTCATTCATATACTGTTGTGATCAATTATGTCTCCGTAATAATATGAGAAATATTCTTGTATAAAGATTTTACTAAGTCTTTCGATTGTTCAATTTATAGTCTGCACTTTCTCAACACATTTCCCTGCAGTTCTGCGGAACAGTCCCTCACTCTGACCTCATTTGGCGCCTTATTGTTTCTCTTTTCAAAATAATAATTAGTCACTTATAATCTCTATAATATATTATTATATAAGCTAAGTATGTCGCTTCCATAGTTGATTAGATGTTATTAGCTACTGCGTGTACTTCCTTCTCAATAAAGCGCTTTTATTGAACACCCGATTGCGGTTAAAAGTGGGTTACTAATACTAGCTATTAATACAACCCATACCTTGAGAGTTATTTTACAGTTTTTTTTTTTTACAAATATAAGTAAATTGAACAGAATCATTTAAAAGTAACGAGCTTTCTTTAAATTTTTATACTTGAACCTTATCTCTCATATCATTATTTTTAATTATTTTAAGTTTCCAGCATGAATTCTTTATAAACCTAATACTCTCCTGAAACAGACTACATTCCTAGTTTGGTACTCAAAAAGTCTTTTAGTTCCATCTTTGGGTAAAATAGTCGATCTGTTATTCCCCACAATTATTCCGTTTTAGCTATCTCAGGAACTTTTTATGGAGCTATTTGTTAGTAGTAGTCATATAGTGAATTCTTTATCTCGGGCTCCAAATACTAACACTAAAGTCACAACTTAAGGAAACGATTATGTTTTGGTGACCCCGACACTTAATATCACTTGAAAACGAATTACAACAAAATTAATTTCCCGAATTTTCCATATAAAATGAACAATTCAAATAGCATTGCATTTTCTCAGTTCATTACCAACGTATTATAATGTGGTGAATTTTTCATTCCCTTGAAGGCAAGATGAGACCCCAATCGCAAAGTTGGCGTACCTGAGTGGGGATTTAGAGACCGAGCCAAATAGGCCCCCTTCCGTCAAAGAGAATTATTCTGACTGGAAGCAGGCAACTTGCTCACATAGTAGTAGACGGAAGAAACAGCTACTACTAGAAGAATTTAAGCGCTGGGCTGATAGCTCTTTCTGTCGCCATTCACAACTGATCACAATAATAAGACTAGAAGCTGGTTGGAATCGTTGAAAATAGGATTACACCTAGCCCTCGCTTAACACGGGGGTAATCCCCTTGAAAACGTCGTGTTCAGCGAAATAGTGTTAAACGAGCCATGTACTCCATACAAAATAAGGGGGGGTTCCGAAAACGACGAAAAATTCATACAAAATAGATTTACTGTTCAAATTTATTAGTTTCAAAAACATAAAATCGTTTATTCAAATCGATTTTGGCAATCGTGTAAGAACGAGGTTTTTCATCGTGTCAAAATAGAAAAGGTAGCAATTTGTAATCGTGTTAGACCGAATTCGTATTAAAAGTGTTCGTGTTAAGCGAGGGCTAGTGTAGTTACCAAGGGTTCCAGGGTTCTTTCAGGAACTAGCCGCTATAGCGCTACGAATTTCGCCATTCTAAGCACTTTGCTTGGGGAGGAGTTGGACCAAAATATTCAACTTCAAAAGTTTTGTCTCCGACTTTTAAAACCGATTAACACGATTGTTATGCGGATGTGGGTGTATTTACAAATTTAGTTTCCTCATTCTTTAAGGGAATTCAAATGAAGCTTGATAATTATTACATATTTTGAATTTTGAAAAGCTTCCTTCTCATGGTAAAAAATATATCCAACAACAGAGTATTGCCTTGTACCTATCCTAAGTTTTCTTACTTATCGTATACATTCATATTTGTAAGCAAATGCTAATTGATTTGTTCATTCCAACTCTTAAACTAAGCCAACTACCATCCATCGTAGAGTATTCAGAGCTGCTACCTTTCCACATCGATTCAGAGTACACACTCGCATTTAAATGAAGTACCGCGAGTGCTCACAACACACTTGGTCGTTTGGAGAGCCGTGGAAACAGTAGCCCTACACGCTGTGATTGATTGATTAGATTTTTGTTAATTACTTAACGCGCTTCAGACTTCAAGCTGAGCGCGTCGCGCATTCCAAGCGTTGAGCGTTGCGAGCCAAACTTACAAGATGCGAGTGCTTGTATCTCAGATTGATGCGCAGCTGCAATTTCGGAGCAGAGGGAATACAATTTTTCGCTTCCTGAATTAGTTATGCCCGGTGACGAGCTTGAGCTGATGGATTGATTGCGAAGCTCAGAACGCAGCCGACTGCATACACCAGATGCATAGATTTTCAAATGGCTTTCAGTTGCGAGCCAAGTGCGTAGCTCAAGACGCTCATCTACATACTAGTAGTAGTTGTTGAAAGGAGTGTACTCCCATAGTGTGTAACGCCCCGAATCCCACAAACGAATGCAATGTGTGTTAAGCAGCACAACACTACACAACAGAACACAACACAGCACAACAGGGCGCTCTGCCATTTTCAAATTCACATTTACTCAAGCAGGAAGAAATGCAATTTTCAATTGCAGCTGAATTCGTTCCAGAAAACGGCCTGCCCCGACGTCTTCGAACCGCATACACCAACACACAGCTGCTGGAGCTGGAGAAGGAATTCCATTTCAATAAATATTTATGCCGCCCCAGAAGAATTGAAATTGCAGCCAGCTTAGATCTGACCGAGCGACAGGTGAGTAGTCCTCCTCCTCCCCCATTCCCCATCCACCATTCCCCATCCAGTTATCCAGCTTAAATTCAATACAGCCGTCAATATAGCTGGTGTTGCTGTGCAAATAAATTTCAACTCACTGTCGAGGCAAAGTGGTGGCACCCTTTAGTTGGCTGTCGGGTTGGCTGGCATGCCAGCACAGCAGCTGGTAAAGGTGGAAAAATTTCATTACTTCTGACAAATTGCATTCTGCAAAGGTAGACAGACACAAGATGCACCGAACCTGTTTGTTTTCATTTTAATTGCACACCAACATGCCTCCAATGGCACTCGACACTCGAAGCCGACACTCGACTGAGGTGTTTTCTTTTGCGCTCTCCTTTCAGGTAAAAGTTTGGTTTCAGAATCGTCGCATGAAACACAAACGACAAACGCTCTCCAAAACAGACGACGAGGACAACAAAGACAGCCTAAAAGGTGACGATGATCAGTCCGATAGTAGTAAGTGCAAAAATATATTTCATTTTTATCTAAAACTAAGGCTATTAGTGTGAGGCTTAGACAAAAGCTTATTTCTTGAATTAGACTTGCACTCTTCGATTTATTTGTAAGGTTTCCGAGTGCTTTTTCTGAATCTATTTAAAGTTTATAAAGTTAGAAAGCTTATATAGCAGTTCTCTAAAAGGCTAACAATTTAATTTCTTTTATTTAAAAAGAAATAAATAATAAATCTTCAAGAAAGAAATGACGGCCTTAAATTTCTACATTTAATTTGATAATCATTTATTTTTAACAAGAAACAACAATAAAGCTTTAAGAAAGTATTTTATTTCTTGCATTTCTACATATAAATACAACATTTACTTTAAAATATGATTTGGTGACCCCGAGGCTAGATTGTCAGAACAGTAGATTTAAGTTTCCCTCAAACCCTCAGAGTGCTTGTATTAGTCCTTAACTACCCCTGTCTCCATCCAAATCACCATTAGAGTCAACAAGTAATAGCAGCATCATCTCAAACTATACAATTCACTTTCAAAATCAGCACTCTCACAAACAATATAGCATATACTTGTAGATAGGCGAGAGTTCTGGTACAGGCAGAAGCGGAAGATACGTTCCACTTTTACTTTTAGAAACCTTAAGCCATAAGTGAGGAACGCTGAAGTCTATCAATCATTGTCAAAGTGGCGGCCCAACTCGAGCATTGAGCCGCTAACCCCTTTGCGATTCCTTCGACTCGATGCCTTTTCGTTATAAAAGCAAAAACCTAAAAATAAAACAAAAACAAACCATCAATTTTGATTCCCTCTGCTTTGCACGAAACAGACTCCAATTCGAAGAAATCGTGTCAAGGTTGCGAACTGCCTTCCGATGATATACCGGACTCGACTTCGAACTCACGGGGACACAACAACAATACGCCCAGCGCCACCAACAACAATCCGAGTGCAGGAAGTCGTAAGTAGATGGAAGACTTTTAGCAGCCATGACGGTTTCTTAACTAAATCGTCGTCTCTGTCTATCGCAGTCACACCCAATTCCTCGCTAGAAACGGGCATCTCTTCAAACCTGCTCGGCAGCAGCACCGTATCCGCCTCCAATGTAATCAGCGCCGACTCGAGTGTGGCGTCCAGCGTCAGTCTGGACGAGGATCTGGAAGAGAGTCCCATCAAGGTGAAAAAGAAAGATGACAGCCAGGTGAGTGTTTAATCCACAAATCTAAAAATGAAACAGTTTCTCAACCAAATATGTGAATAGGTCATCAAAAAGGAAGCGGTTTCCACCTCATCCAAGGCCTCACCCTTTGGCTACGACACTCCGACGGCATTGTCTGCGTCCGGTGGCGGCAGCGGCGCTGGTGTTGGTGGTGGTGGTGGCAGCAGTCTGAGCAGCTTTCGGCGCGACTCCGACGCCTCATCGCATCACAGTCAAGCGACAACTGCCACGCCCATTGGCAAAGGCAAGAAGCGTTTCCAGCCACAACCCAATCCAAATGCCATTGCGAGCGAAAATACTGTGGCCGGACCCAATCCGTACTTCCCCGGTTATTATCCCAACGCCAATGCAAAGCAACAACTACAACCGTTGCAGTTGCACGTGCAACAACAACAACAGCAGCAGCAACAACAACAACAAACGCCAGGTCAAGACTATTACGGCAAATACGATATTGAATTCGCCGCATCGCCACACCACAATCCACACAAGCTGCAGCAACAGCTGCACGGCGAATATCTAAGTCCCAAACCCAGCGCCGGCGTCAATTTCCATCCAAACACTCAACAACACCAGCACGAGCAGCAGCAGCAGCAGCAACAACAACAGTTCTACTACAACTACAACGATGTGAATGGCGGCAATGCTGCGTACTTGAATCACCAACAACAACAACAGCAGCAGCAGCAACAACACCATCACGTTGGAGAATTTGAGGCGCCACCTATCAACGGGCCCGCGAACTTCTATGATCCCAAGACGCAGGCAAGCACTTACTACGACAACATGAGTTTCCAAGCACACCAACACCAGCCCGTGCTGTTTCAACAACAGCAGCAACAACAACAACAGCAGCAGCAACACCAACACCACCAGCACCAAACTGCAATCAACAATCAGCAGTAAGTACAATATGAACTGCTTTCAACTGCTTAAAGTAGCTGTGACGCACACCTGATTTCGTGCAGTAGGAATGAAGCCTAAATAAGCAGTGCAAAGCAGTTTACTTTTATTACAAAATTCGTTAGCCACCAAAACGCTGCTGAAAACGTTTTTTTGAGAAAAATTTTAAGAATTTGTTGAAAGAACAGTTTAATCGCGAATTTTTCAAATTGAACTGCTGGCAACTGTGTCATGAAGTAGCTGTGACGCAAGCCAGTTATCGTGCAGTAGCAAAGGAGCATAAATAAGCAGTTTTCAATTTATTTGAAAATCCATTAGCAGCCAAAATATGAAATTAAAAACTATATTTAATTAAATTCTTAAATACAATTTCGCTGCTGAAAACGTTTTTTGATGAATATTTTAAGTATTTTACGTATTGAATATTTTTAAGTACGGTTTAAAGTGCGAATTATTCAAATTGAACTAGCAACTGCTTTATGAATTAGCTGTGACGCAAACCAATTATCGTGCAGTAGCAAAGGAGGATAAATAAGCAGTGTGTGCAAAGCAGTTTTAAATTTAATTGAAAATCCGTTGGGAATCAAAATATTTAATTAAAAAATATATTAAATTAAATTATTAAATAACATTTCGCTGCTGAAAACGATTTATTTGATAGTTAAAGATGAAACAATTGTTTAATTAGCAAACTGATTTAGCAAGAAGAATGGATATTTACAATTGAATCAAATTAAAAAGACACTACTATATAATTAGAGTCGATTACTTGAACGCCTGCTTAGCAAAGCCTGATTACTTAAATAAATTAAAGATGAAAGAATGGTTAAAGGGACAGGCTGATTTAGCAAGAAGAATGGATATTTAGAATTGAAGCAAATTGGCAGACAAATTAAGAAGCCACTATAATCATTTAATGCTAGAGTCGATTATTTAAAGCAATTTATAAATAAATTTAAGTTAGTTTTTCAAGTAAAATAATTCGAGCAATTAATTCAATGGATATATTTTATAGATATTTAGGATCTACAACCTAACAACACTCTATAAACATTCCTCTCTCTTGAACTCTCTCGACACAGACACATGCACCATTTGGGAGCTGGGGAGGCATACAGCGCCCTTGGCCTGCAGATGGAGAACTGCGACGGCTACAACAACTTTGGCGGCTACTACGAGGCGGGTCAACAGGCGGCGGTGCCGGTGCCACCCCCGCATCCACAGCACAGCCACACACACCATCCCCACCACCACGTCCAGGTGCAGACTCAGGCTCAGGCTCAAGCTCAGGCTCAGGCGCATGCCCATCTTCATGCGCACCACAATCCGGTGGCTGCGGCGGCGGTCAGTGCTGTGGTTGCTGCCCAAGGAGTGGTTGTGCCGCCACCGCCGCCGCCACACATACACATGGGCGCCAATGCCAGCTTTGCGGTTAATGGAGCGCCCGCAGGACAGGGACAGGCGTTTGCGAACAACGGAGCGGGTCCTGTGGGGGGAGGAGCCGCCGCCATTACGGGCCTGGAGAACTCGAACAGCTCGTCTGACTTTAATTTTCTCAGCAATCTGGCGAACGACTTCGCACCCGAATATTATCAGCTCAGTTAGTTCTTGTAAGAGACTGGCACTGTAAATATTTTGTAATTACTACTTATACATAAAAAGCTAGACTAATTATCGGATTATCTGACGATCTGACTATCTGACGATCTGACGATCTGATTACATGATTATCTGTCGTAGTTTTTGTAAATATGTTTGTATGTGAATGAACTAGAGCACATGATTATGAATATGATGGAATACTAGCAATGCATCTTCTTGGTAGTTAGTTTCAAGCCCATTTCAGTAATAGTATGTCTATCGCATTAGCCAGGGCCAGGGCCAGGGCCCCAGAGTGGGCTGCAAGCGGCCCTTTGAGGACTGCCTTGGCCAAGTGGCGTTGGCTTAAAGCCAACAACTTAAACAGATTTCCCAAAAAAAAAAAACAAAAACTAATGTAAATAGCCAAATTATAATTAACATAAAATCGCAGTCTTATTAATTAAATACACTAAAAATATATTTCCATAAAATCTAATCAATTTCAAATACAATATTGCAGATATACTTGTAGTATTCATCGAGTTTTGCCTTTCCCTCTCATCGTTTCTGTAAATACTTATGATAGTTTAAATCGAAAGAAAAATCAAAATTTGAATCCGTTCCGATTCAAGTGCAATTTCTAATAAAAATCAACTAATTAAGCGCATGCATGGAATTTTATTCTAAAACCAAAATAAATGGAAAGCAACAGAAAATTTCACGCAATAAATGTTTGTATGTTGTTCTAAAATTCATTAAAAATAATTGAAAAAAAAAACTAAACAAAAAACACAAATAAAGTTTAGGCTTTGAATGGCTTAGAATTCTTTGTAAGAATACAAATTTGATGTATTTATAAGAAATAAATGTGAAAATACAATTGAACCAACGCTGTCTTCTTAATACTTCTCACACCTCCACCAAGGGCCGCTCTTACCTCAAATTTTGACTGACAACCCATGATGGATGGGATTTTCGCTTGAAGGGACTCAGGTCCGTGTCCCGCTGCTCTCGAGCACGTGTTAAAAAGTGTGATTACTTTCAGCAAATTTAAACAAAGCCCGCACACAAATACACAGCTGTATGTGTTCAGAATATCAGTATCTACTATATATCGACTTGCGGGAAAGTGTATGTCAAGAGAAAAAAAAGAAAAAATAGCAGCTTATGAAGTAGAGTTTTGGAAAGTTGCTCAGATGGAAGTTAGCTGCCAAATTATTTGAAAATTTTACAATATTTTATATTGTTAAAGTCCGGGATTAATCAAGGAATTTCTAAAGCGAAGTTAAGCAATCAGCCTCGAAAAGGAAATAGATTATAGATAAATATATATAAAAGAAGTTTCATTTCTTTTCAAAGTTCTTTTCGAACACACAAAAAAGAAAAAAAATAGGAGCATATGAAGTAGAGTTTTGGAATATTGCTCAGGTGGACGTTAACTGAGAAATTATTTGAAAATTTTACAATATTTTATATTGTTAAAGTCCGGGATTAATCAATGAATTTCTAAAGCGAAGTTAAACAATCAGCCTCGAAAAAGAAATAGATTATAGATAAATATATATAAAAGAATTTTAATTTCTTTTCAAAGTTCTTTTCGAACACACAAAAAAGAAAAAAAAAATAGGAGCATACGAAGTAGAGTTTTGGAATATTGCTCAGATGGGCGTTAACTGAGAAATTATTTGAAAAATTTACAATTTTTTATATTGTTACAGTCTGGGATTAATGATGGAAGTTCTAAAGCAAAGACAAATAATTAGCCTTGACTCAGAAATAGATTATAGATAAATATATATAAAAGAATTTTCATTTCTTTTCAAAGTTCTTTTCGAACACACAAAAAAGAAAAAAAAAATAGGAGCATATGAAGTAGATTATTGAAAAGTTGCTCAGATTATTTAAAAAATTTAAAATTTGTTATATTGTTAAAGCTTGCGATTAATCAAGGAATTTCTAAAACGAAGTTAAATAATCAGCATCGAATAAGAAATAGATTACAGATAAATATATATAAAGTTTTTCCTCATTCTAGACAGGATTTCTTATACAAGAATAATATAGTACATAAAACTTTAAAACTTTCCTGAATTATTTATTTATCAATATTTAAGAGAAGAGAAAATGCATTTCGAAACAGGTTTAATTTTATGTTTTATTTAATTTCAAGACGTAAAGCTTTATTTGCTGGGAAAATATATTATGATAAAATATTAATCCTCATTATTTGTTAAAAAAAAAACAATTAAAACAATTGAAACAAATGCTTTCATCTGGCAGCTCAGAACGACTAACCAAACCCAAATAAAATGTAAGAGTTATAGAAAAACCAGCCTCAGTTCTGATGGTTCTGTCCGATGGTTATTAGAGAACTAATTACTTATTTTAAGAAAGCCTTTCTTATATAACAAATAACTACGTTTTTGTGTAAGAAACAACTAGTACAGGTTCGAGAATAATATTTTCTAAACGTAAGGCAGCTTAAATTGATTTTTAAACAATTCTGGGTAGCTTTAACAATGCTATACAATCTGTTTGAGATTTAAATCGAAAGCTTAGAGAAAATATTTTACGGCCATAACATAAGTGTTCTAGAGAGCCCCTAATTTGGTTGAATAAATCTAGTCCAAGTTTTTCCAGAGAACATTATACAAATCTTCAAAAAAAAGCCTGTTCTTGGCTTACTTTAATCACAGCTAGGTTAAAGATTATTGCAGGAACTCGGCTTATGCTCAGGGCTTAGGTCATTATATAATACAAGTAAAAACTACATTTATATAATGTGAAGCATAGAAAAAGCCTGGCTCTATCGGGTGTACATTGTGTTCCGAAATATTACAGTTTCTAAGAGACATTTTTACCAGTATCTAATTTCTTACAAATTTTCAGAAATGTTGCTTCCAAAGTTGAATGTATTTTCCAAATATATCAAGTCTATGAAATTAATAAAGCTTTTTCCATATAGTACATACATAGAGTATATATTTCTTGTAGGAAATGAAAGTGTTGTCTAAACTAATACGCTTTTTATAATCAGGTGTTATAGAATAAGCCAATGAGTTGACAAAAGTATATCAGACAAAGATTTCATAGTCGCTGAAAATTGATTAATTCTTGCTTTATTGGAGATGAAAACTTTGATCAACTTTGTAGAAAGCTAGTCTCCTAGCCACTATATTTCAAATGATCAGATGTGACAGAAAAAGCAAATCGTAGGCAGTTCACAAAAACAAATCAGACTCAGCGAATCAAAGATTGATTAAATTTCTTCTTTTTAGTAAATGAATTTTGATTAATTGCTTAATCTTTTATGTTACAGGAAAAGCAAACCTGATGCATAGTCGATGAAAATTGATTAAGTGTCGCTTTGTTCAAGATGAAAACTTCGATTAACTTTTTAGACAATTAACCACTAGCCTTTATATAACTAGAAATTAGTCTAATCGTAAACAATTTACAAAAGCAAATCAGACTCAGCGAGTCAAAGATTGAATTTTTGATTAAATTTGATTAAATTTCTTTTTATTTCGAAGATGAAAATTATGCTCAATTTATTAATCAGTTACCCCCAAACTATTATTACCCTTTATAGTATGTTAAAGGAAAAGCAAACCTGGTGCAAAAGCATATCAGACAGTTGTCCTAGTCGATGAAAATTGATTAAGTTTTCGATTAACTTTTTAGCCATTTAACCACTGGTCTTTATATAACCAGAAATTAGCTTAATCGTAAGCAGTTCATAAAAGCTAATCAGACTCAGTTAGACAAAGATATCATTGTCGATGAAATTTAATTAAGCTTCTTCTTTAAGAAAATGAAAATGTTGCTCAATTTATTAACCAGTTAACACATAAACTAGTATTATCTTTTATGTGAAAGGAAAAACAAACCGGAAGCAAAAGCATATCAAGAATAGTTGTCATAGTCGATGAAAATTGATCAAGTTTATCTTTGTTGAAGATGAAAACTTTGATCAACTTTTTTGCCAATTAAAAAATAGCCTTTATATAACTAGAAATTAGCCTAATCGTAAACCGTTTACAAAAACAAATCAGACTCTGCGAGTCAAAGATTTCACTGTCAATGAAATTTGATAAAGCTTCTTCTTTTTAGGAGATGAAAATTTTAACTAATTAACCTATTAGCTAGTATTATCTTTTATGTTAAAGGAAAAGCAAGCCGGAAAGAGTTCAGAAAAGCAAACTTAAACTCAAACTCATTTCATTTGTCTGCACATTCTCAAGTACTGTCCTTATGAGTCTGTAGGGCCGACAAAAAACATATTTATGATATTGTTATTTTTTGTTGTTGTATTAATAACCAAAAGCCATGCAACATTTATTGATTGTGCTGGCGATGTGGCAACATTCACGCTGCATTTGGCCATTCGTCGCAGCGTTTGTATCCCTGGAGAGTACAGGCTCTGCCATTCGACGACGCTGTGAAAGGACCAGCAGGAGCAGAGTTTTTGGCTTCTCCTGCCTGTCAACAATTTTAGTGAATTTCTCGGATCGGCAGCGGGACAGCTGAGCCGCATTCAGTCCCCTGTCGCCGGCTACGTACATACATACATACTTGTACGTGTACATATATTTCTGACAGAAGCGGTGAAAATTTAAGATTGATCACCAGCCTGAATGTGTTTGAAAATTGGTTGGTTGGGTGCTGTCGAGTGCAGGCCTGAAACCGAAACAATGTCGAGCTGTCTGTGCCTAACTTACTTGTTGGGTTCGCTGGGTTTGGTGACCCCCATGGGTGGGGTCTGGCGAGAGAAGGACTGCTGAAAGCATGTTGTGCTCAAATTAATTTAATTAGTCGACACTCCACCAAAGCAAAAATGTTGCAAATCGGCCGCGAAACATTCGCACGGCACAATTATGAATGGTCTAAGGCCGTGCGAGTGTTTTGTTAATCTTTTTATTTTTTTCTCTTATGTACCAACGAACTATAAATCGATAATGCCCGCATTTCGAGGCATTTGAGATAACAGTAAGCACTTCCACTTAACCACTGACCATCACCGC